GTGAGGTGACGTGCGTGATCGGTACGCACATTAAATTTTTCCTATCACTAATTACTGCTTACATCGATATACATATATAATTTCTTTTTATATTTTCAATTGATGTGCTGGATTTTTGTATACTGAAATAGTTTTCACTCCTTCTTACTGCCTAACAATGAAGGTGCACACGGAAGACGGTCCTCCTCCGCACTCCAAGAGCAATAAGCTGCATGATGTAAGTTAAAAATTTATAGTTTCTATTAACCTTTATGTATTCTGTGTTTTCCGGTCAGACGGCCTTTACTAATTATTGCATAGACGAACAAATTAATAATTCACCCATTTTAACAAGAACATTATTTTAATTTCTAACAATTTTTGAATAACCCAACTTTTAATCTATATTAGTTTGTCTTCTAGAGTATAAGTTTTAAGGCAATAAGCTTTTTTTCAATGATTAACACTGCACTGTTAATTGATCGCTGAACAGTTTGAGTCTTAAATTCCAGTTGTTGAAACCAGTGAAGTGCGGGTAACAAACGAGAACGGATACATTGATGAGCAAAGAGGCTATAAATAATTTTGCAAATTGTTGCGAGATAGGCCGCAACGTTAAAAATACTGCATTTTGACCACTGTGTGACAAATTTGGTATAGCGACAAAAATGAGTGACAGACCGATTTCAATTTGTCATTTTTGGGGTACATGTTGAATTGGCTAAACATATGCTATTAGTTTTGTTAGGCACTATAAATTGTGGCTTTTTACAACTGCTTTCTTGGTCTGTTTTGAGAATGTCTTTCATTTATTCCTTTGCAGTCTCCAATATAGATTCTGAAGCGTCTTTTAAAGTCGAAGATCCATCTTCTCACTCAATATATCCTATGTGTTATTCAGCAGATTCAGTTTGAAATATTTTTGAAATTTCTTACTGCTTACCAAGTGCGTCAGCTTTTTATCTATTTTTTTTCACATAAAACACAATTTTCAAGTTTTTGTTTTCTTCTTTTTTTTTTTTT